CCCATGGTTAGAAAAAGCCCCAGGTAAAGAAAGATGCTCTTTAGAGGCAGCACATTCCAGGGGCGCACCTTCCCGGAGCTGAGGGCAAAAGTCAGATCTCTCTTTGGGTAAGGTTAATTCTTTACTACACAGAGCCTCCCTCTCTCATATCATTTGATGCATTAAAAGATATTCAAAAGTTATACACTCTCTCATGATGGGATTCAATGTGATTAGTATTATTTGGGGCCTAAAACCATTTCATGTCCACCACTGGAGCCCAGCCTGGCCTTGAGTATATACCAGGCTCCAGGGCAGATCAAGGGCAGCGCTGACCCACCTCATGGATGATTGGGGGATTGGCACTCTGGGTCCATTCACCGCTCATTCCATCTTCCCTGGGTGAGATGAAAAGCTAATCCTGTGTTTCTCAGGTACCCCTGAGATGGGATTCTGGATATGGCTCCAGCTCTGCTAATTAGAGGCCCTCATATGAGATTTAGAAGGTCAAAGAGAACGTCTTTTTGCCTAATTGACTATATTCTGCTGCCTGTTTGTGAAGGTGATGAGGTTTTCAATGACACCATTCCAGTATCCAGTCACTAACCTGTGGGAATTAAGGTGCAGTCACACACACACACACACACACACACACACACACACACACACGATATCTAAATGGTCAAGAAACACATGAGAAGATGCTCAGTATTATTAATCATCAGGAAAAATAAATGAAAATCAGAATGAGACACCCACCACACACAGAATGGCTAAGATGAAAAAGACTAACAATACCAAGTGTTGAAAGAGGATATGGATCAAGTGGAATTTTCATTCATTGCTGTAAATTGTTACAATCACTTTAGAAAACTATCAGTTTCTTTAAAAGATAAATGTAAACTTAATGTATGACCCAGCAATTCAATTTATAGCTATTCATCTAAGAGAAAAAACCCCAGATGTCCACACAGAGACTTGTACATGAATGTTTGTAGCAGCAATATTTGTAATAGCAAAAAACTGAAAACAACCCTCAAAGGCCATCAGTACAGGTGAGTGGATACCAGCTGTGGCATTTGCGTGCATAGATATTGCTCAGCATGAAAAGGGGGAACCACTGGTGCACACAACACATGGACAAATCTCAAAAGCTTTATCCTAAGTGAAAGGAGCCAGATACAGGAGTCAGACTGTATAATTCCACATGTATGAAGTCCTGGAATGAGCAAAAGCAACTGACGGTGATAGAAGTCAGAATAATAGTTGCTTGACCCTGGCTGGGCTGCTCAGTTGCTTGGAGCATCATCCAGTACACCAAAAGGTTGTGGGTTCAATTCTAGATCAATGCACATGTCTCAGTTGTGGGTTCTATCCCCAGTTGGGACATGTACGGGAAGGGGATATATTCCCAGAAGTTAAATCACTGGGTCATCAGGCAGTTCCAATTTTAATTTTTGAGGTATTATAGAATTGTACACCTGAAACCTATATACTTGTATTAACCAATGTCACCTCAGTAAATTCAATAAAAAGGAAAGAAAGATCTGTGTACTTTACTATATGTTAGTTATACTTCAAAGCAAAACATAACAAAATTGAAAACAAAAGGGCAATTATGTCCTGGTTGGTGAAGACTTTCTGATCCTGGGTCAGAGACAGAGCAACAGGATTCTGAAGATGCCATGTATAGTAGGGCCTCCTGCTTGGGGTATAAGGAGGTGCTCCCTATGTGGATCAGTTCGGTTATTATGAAATAATAAAAAACATGTACGTTGGGTTTTGCTACCAGTTCCGGACATGCAGCTCCTAAAACACTTGTAATTTCCTAGGGCAGTGGTCAGCAAACTCATTAGTCAACAGAGCCAAATATCAACAGTACTTCTTCAAAATATACGCACCCAGGCTGAAAACCTACTTCTGCACATGGACCACGAAGTTTCAATTGCACTGTATGCGCGCCCGCATGTGGTATTTTGTGGAAGAGCCACATTCAAGGGGCCAAAGAGCCACATGTGGCTCATGAGCTGCAGTTTGCCGACCACGGTCTTAGGGGATAAGAGCACCAGGAGCATCTTTTGTTCTAATATTTGTTCTTTGACCCCAGTTCCTGATGCAGAGACCTTAAATCCCCCGGAATTTCCTGGGTGATAGGAGTGTCTTTTGTTCTAATGAGACAATGTTTCATGGGCTCCAGGATGGGTCTGGTCACTAGAATGACCAGGCCATGATTAGAAGCTTAGAACTTTCAGCCTCATTCTCTATCATCCAGCAGGGAGAGAGGGGCTGGAAATTGAGTTAATGATCAATCATGCCTGTGTGATGAAGCCTCCATAAAATCCCAATAGTATGGGGTTCAGAAAGTTCCATGTACTGGGAGGGTGACACCAAAACTCCATGGGGACGGGAGCTCCTGTGCTTGAGACCCTTCCAGACCTCACCCTATGCATCTCTTCATCTTGCTGCTCATCTGTATTTTTTATCATATTTGTTATCTATCTATGTATAAAAGCTTAAGCGACTGTCCAACTGTTTGACCATTTGACCGTTCGACCATTTGACCCTTCAGCTGGTAGCTATGATGTGTACTGATCACCAGGGGGCAGATGCTCAACGCACAGGCATGGAAACATGGAACAGACTGATGAATCTCAGAGGGGGGAGGGTGGGAAGAGATTAACTAAAGATCTTATATGCATACTAGAAACCTGTGGATTGCAAGAGGGTGCAGGCCAGACCAAGGGACCTCACTGGTGCACGAATCCGTGGAGGAAGTCATGGGAACCTCTAATTTGTAGCCAACTTGGACAGAAGTTGTGGGTTACCTGGGGATCCGGTAGCAATTGGCATCTGAAGTGGAGGCGGGCAGTCTTGTGGGACTGAGCCCTTAACTTGTGGGGTCTGTACT